CACACACACACACACACACACGCAGCATTGACACAATAGACATCCTCGATGGATATTCGACGTGAGACCAGTTGGGACCCGCTCGGACAAAGTTCTGAAAAACTTAAAGAAACGATTTTTCGTTTTCATCAGCAGACTTTTAACTTTTGAGACTCACACGTACGTTGCCATGGTAACAACAGCAACAAGGTAACGTGACCTCAGGGCTTCAGGGTCAGCGGACGACGCACCTCCACCTCCTCCTGTTGGACAAAATGAAGTCAGTAACGACTCGGATGTGAACACTGCCCCCTGCTGGTGATGACGTCATTTAAAGTCAGAGTCTGTTGAGTTGTGAAGTGGACAAACATTTGATTCTTTTATTTACCCAGTGTCCCGTCTGATACGACCTGCACTGCAGCCAGACACCAGGGGGCGATGCAGATGTTTGGGCTTCACCTTTGGATTATCACTTACGGTGTATGGTCGCAAGTCTCTCAGGTCGTGTTCTGATAAACAAATACACAAGTGCACAAACACAACCTCCACAAGAAATACATTTAAGATTCAAATGAATTGTTTTACCAGAGAGATTCATGGGAAAAATACAAGTGATGTTATTTTAAACTGAAGACAGGAGAGTCTCCTCCCATAGGAAACAGAGCCTTTTGTTTACATGGAGGAGGCGGGGTTAATGAGCTTTACCGCAGCCTGCCACCAGGGGGTGATCCACATGTCATGTTGGCCATCTTCATTAACTCCTTGTTTCCACCACAGTCACAGATCTCAGATAGTAAAGTGGAGGATTCTTATTCCTACTGAAGTGACGGGTCCCCACAAGTACACTGACGCCGTTTAACATCTGCTGAACTGGTCAGAGTGTGTGTGTGTGTGTGTGTGTGTGTCTGTGTGTGTGTGAGTGTGTGAGAGGGGGTGTTCCCGGCTGTCTCTCCTCTCCGTCACTCCCTCTGATGGATGGAGAAGTTATTAATATGCAGTTGATTTCTGGGAGCTGACGGCGGCTGACGAATGGAGCGTCTCACCTTCAGTAACCGCTGACGCCTCCTGACTCGGGGGTGGGGGGGGGGGCAGCTGTGCTCACTGTGTGGGATCTCGTGTCTTGAAGGACGCGGCTGACGCGCTCGGGGTTGAAGCAATAATCTGAAACACCGTGTTGCTGATATCTTCGGGGGATGAAGACTTTTATTTTGACAGTCATGACACGAGGAGATTGCAGCTTTCAAACACGTCGAGTCGTTCTCCTTAACAAACCTTTAATTTGAGCCTGGACGTCTTGTCCGCCTCGTCTTTGTCTCCAGACAAGTTTTGACGTTTTACCGTTTGATTGTCATGTGCGCCTTCGAGATGACTGACAGCCTGACAGCTGCTGTGATTGGCCGACTGCTCCTGCCGACACATGAATGTATTTATTTGTTTTAAACCAATTAAAAAGGCTCCGCTCATGTGTCGTGTTGTGACCCTCCGAGGGATTCTCTGTGAAACGTCGTCACGTTTGTCTGCAGACTTTTACTTTATTAAACTGATAAAGCTAAGCTAGCTACGCTGTGATTAATTAGGTTTGGCTAACGTTAGCAACACATCAGCTGATTGACAACGTGGTCGAACTTTTTCTGATCCAACAAAACGTAAATGAACTTAGACGAATTCAATTAATATAATTAAATCTCATATCATAGAGTTCAGTAAATACAACAACACAGTCAATCATCCTCCAAGTTATTGTCATTGTATTGTTGTAATATTAATTCTGTGTGTGTGTGTGTGTGTG